AGGGGTACCCCTTCAGATTTCGCGAAATTTTCGTTTTTTGCCTATAACTCCCAAACAGAAGTGCTTAAACTTTTGGGGTTGATTGTATAGCCAATACATCCTTAAACTTAAACTTTAAGGATCGATATCACCGCGTATACATAGAGTATAGTATGGATTCAGGTTGGCGTAGCTAGGAACGTGGAATACTTGACGACGTAATGCACTGGATGGTTTGATTTTCCGCTTCGTCCGAGAAAGAGGTGGATGCTCGAGGGCAACCACCCCCGTTCGAAGGAAATTCATAACTTTATTTTTGAACTTGTAATAATATAATTATCCCTGGTAAGATTGTGAGCCGTGAACAGTATTAAAAAAGAAAAATCAATTTGAATTTGAAGAAAGAACACAAAAAAATGCATTAAATTTATTTATTCATTTTGTCTTATTCCTTCGTTTACGATATAATGTAATGCGTAATATATTATAGAGCCAGTTTATTTTACTAATGAATGTCACAAATTTTCTGTTCCAGGAAGAAACACAATGGTTTAGAATATCTGGATTTAAGCACGGATCCCAGCGTTCGTCTGATCGCTTCCTGTCGTTCGAGAATGCATTCACGATCGCAGTGCGATTGTTATTGTAAAACTCGCGTGCCAATCGCACAACAGAGGGAAGAAATTCATTCTGAAAGAAGTCGTATAAGAAGTTGCCGAAGTCCCAGAACGGAAACTGTCAGAAGTGCGAAGAAAATTCCTTTGATTCCGGTGAGAATTGTCGACGACGAACAGGTACAATAAAATTATGAACTACTGGTTAAAGTATATTATTTGAGAAATAAAGTATAGAACAAAATAAACCATTTTTGATAATGAAGTTTAGAAGACGTTATACGTAAATAGTTGTTAATTAAAATATATATTATTTTACTATCGGATAATGAAATCGGATGAAATAAGAAATGTTGGTTGCTTTATTTTTAGCTTGATAGCAAAATATCGAGTGCATCGCTTTCAGCATCTCCGCTCCTTAGCCCGGAAACGTCGGCAGTTCTCGAGGACGTTGAAAAATTGATAAAAAATGCGCAAATTCAAATGAAAGAAATAGATATGACCACTAATGATGGTCGCCTTAAAAAATGTCTGCCCGTGTAAGTCCAAGTCTTATAATATCACAGTTCAGTTTCATTATACATTGAATTCTGCATTTTAGTGTATTGCTTATTTAAAAATTGCATCTTTCAACTTCAAAAAATTTTCTATTATTAAAAAAAAATCCGTGAAATATGAATTTTAATGATCACTCATCTCTATGAAATATCCGTCGATTTCCGGAATAATTGAGATTGATGTGTGCTGCAACGGTTGTTTTAGATATTCAGAAGAGACGCCACTAAATGATGAAAACGATCAAATATTGTATATTCGCGAACGCGTCGCGTATAAATTTCAAGTAGCAAATGGTTGGATCGATAGCTATGCGAACGTCGAAGGGAAATTTACGAACGAAGATCGTGTCGGGGTCAAATCAAAAAGGTTTGTCGATTTGTCAGCTCCGAAGTTCACGACTTCAGAAGATCGTTACAAGGAGTTCTCGCGGGGAAAACAGTTTGAGACCGAGAAATTGGGTCTCCCGAGGTCACTCATTAATAATGAGGACGGTGATAAAAGAGAAAACGATGGCCAAGTATGTACCTCCGAACAGAAACGGGAAGAATATAGAAAAATCGATACGTTCTCGGTACGAATGTGTCCGGCAGTGAATATCAAAGGAAAGCTGATCACGCAGAATTTGGAGAATATCCACATCTCACCGGACCCCTCCTTCGTCCAGGAAAGTCAAAACGTTAGAACTTACGTTGTGTCGCATGAGTTTTCTGAGAAAAACGAGTCACCTAGGCGTAAACAGAAGTTTATAAAAATATTAGAAGATAATAATGACTCCGCATCGGTGAACGATAAAATAAAAAGTGGGAATTCCAAGGATTATGACGATAACAGAGGTGACTCAGATTCGGCAGATTTGTTGCAGAAACAAACGAATGTTTCAAAGGAAAATAAAGAAAAGTTGATTGAAAACATAGACAAAATGCATGAAATAAATAAACCAGTGAAGAATATGGAGAATGAGAAAGATGTTAGTTACGATGGCGAGAAATTTGAGGATAACGCTGGAAATAGAACTCGAGATGTTGCAACTATTAAAGCGGAAATGGAAGCTGGCCAAGAAGAAACGGAAGTTTCGACGATAAAAATAATTTCCAAGAACGAGCAGAAGCAAGTACGATTCGAAGAGAAAACTGTAGAAATTCATATCGAATCGCGAACTAAAGAAGAAGGTAAAGCGGACTCGGAACAGGATCTAAGAGCATTCGCGAGATCTACGGAATCAAAAAGTCAAAAGATCACGAAGACTAATGCCGAACTATTTAAACTTCCTTCATTTATAACAGAAGTAAAAACGGACGACGAAAGTAGTAAGATACCATTATTGAGCAAAGAAATGGAAGAGAAGCGTACGATTAATAAAAAGGGACAGAGAGAAATGATTAAAAAGCAAGAAGTAGAAAAAGATAGAAACTACAAAATTATGATAGATCAACGTTTCGCAGATATCGTCAAAACGTATGGCGGCAAGAACGATAAGTCCTCGGAAAATGTTAGTTACACCGCGTCTTCGAGTATCAATTCTTCAGAACCAGAAAATTCAGAACAGTTCGATGATATTTATAACTTATACCAGCCTCCTATAAATGAATTGGACAACGTTTTATTCGCATATGATAAAGTAATTGGTAATATTGTTCGATCAACAAAAGTGATCGACGAGTTCTTGTCACGACCGGAAATTGAAGAGTATCGAAGACTACAAGACGAAGGAAAAATGAAAACCCAACACTCTATACCAGTGAACAAAAGAAAAGCTGAAACGATAAAAAAAGACAATTCACATAAATCGCAAGTTAAGCAGAAGATAGAATCACGGATAAAAAGGCCAGTAATTAAGAATCGATTAACCAGACTGGCGAATAAAAATATGAATACAGAATGTGAATCTAGAAAAATGAAGCAAATTAAATCTACAGCGCCTATATTCGTAAAGAATTCAAAGAGGAAGACCTTTTTCAAAGATATCAGTTCAAAAGCTATAGACACAGACGTAGCGGGGCCGAGTTTCAAAATGAGAGATCGTCTAAATACTTGGAAAATGATTTTAAATGAAGAAACCACAAAAGCGAGCGAAAATAATGACGATCAGAATAGAAAACGCGAAATTAACGAGATCGGAAAAATGCATTGCTCGAAGACACATTTTCTACAGATGAAACATGATATTTCCAGCTCAATTTCTTCGACGAATCCTTTATCCTCGAGTTCGGATACAAAAACTATCGACGAGACGGGGATGATACATGAAATCTTGGAATCACAAATTAATCAACAAAACGAAGAAAAAATAACGGATATGAAGTTAAACATTCGAGAAGATGATGAGAAAGATATAAAAAATGATAATTTTCATTATACTAGATCGCAGAGTGATACAGTTGTCAAGTCGGATGATTTGAATAAAATTTTCTCGGAAGAAAAAGCCATGGATCATCTAATAACTCGTATTCTTCAGGAAGAAACACGATTCATCGAAGAGAAAGTTAAGCATATCTTTAACGTAGACGAAATCGCACCTGTAATGGCCAAGAGTCTGATAGAAGACTTGAAGAATAACGCTCCGAGTTTCGGAAATTTGGTACTGTTAATTTCGGAAAATGCACCAACGATAAACACAGCTTCTATTAATATTCAAACGGGAATTGGAAGCATAAAGAAGAACGAGACTGGGAGACAGAATTTGCAACTGAGATGTCTACCGGAGGAAGACAATGTTAGCATAACGGAAGCGGTTAAATGTAGTGATAATGCGATCGAAGAAAATATTTTAGCTAAATCTAATTACGAAATTAATATTACTAATCCGATATCCGATAACGAAAATCAAACTAAAAATGAAAATTCTAAAAGAATAAGACCAGATAAAACGAGAAACTCTGACGTGATAAAGAACGAAATCGATGGTGCAAAAAGAGGACTTAAGAAAGATGAAGAGAATATAATTTCTATGAAGATCGAAAGTGGAGAACATCAAATCGATGAGAATTTACAAAAGAACAGAACGGTGCAAGATATAAATAATAAAACTTCGTCTATGCAGAATAAGAAATCTGAGCTAAAAAGAATTGATAACATTGAAGAAAACGTAAATTCGAAGAGAAACGATAACTCTAAATCTCCTGATAAAGTATTGTCATTAGCAAATGATCCGAGTGAATTGATAAATGAGGAACCAGTAAAGTCAGATTCGATCGAAAACCCCGGTAATAATATATTACAGGTTTCATCGTCTGATTCTTTGCGCGATTGCGTATCTCTTCGATCACCTTCGAAAAATAATACGGAAATTTCGCAGGAAGTTAAGCGGAGCTCAGAAACAAATAACTCGATTGGTGGCGCAATAACGAATACATTGTGTTTTGTTAACGCAATCGATAAAGAAAAGGTTTTATCGGATGTATATGAGGACATGAAAAAACAATTTCTTTCCTCTACGTGCCTCGATGCGAATTATTCAAACGTGCTAAATCAACAGTATAGGTAAAAGAAATATGCAGATGTCGATTTAAAGTAAACAACTTTGATAAAATTATCATTTAAGCGTATAAATTCATTCAAACCAACTTCTTACAGATTTTCTAATGTCGCATCAACAATATCTACAATAGAATCGACTAAGGTAAAGAGATTATCAGACGATATGTTGAATTAAAGAATAATCTGGATCTAACTAATTTATGAATGATCTACGACACTTACATCAAAGACTTTTCGCGTTAATTCGTTTATCCGTATTTAAGGTCGGAACTTCATCGGACACTTCTCGTTCGGAAGGAGAATTATATTTTCCAAGTTCCGGCTCGTATTCCCTCGGAGAGGTTCGAATTTTGACAAGTAATCATTCAGATGGGGAGAATACTGATCTTGACAATGAAACAAAAAAAATGCTAGCATCTTGGAACGAGTCATCGAAGGTAAACATTTAATATCATTTAATTAAGCATCGCGTTATTTAACTAACGTATTTTTAGTCTCTCGTGAAAAGCATGGGAGAAATTTAGGATTACTGATTTGCATGGTAAGAGAAGAGGGTTACGGTTACGCTATGTTCATACATATAGATTCACATGCCGAGAACGAAGATGCAACAGCGGTGTCACACGAAATTTTTCGGAAAAACAATAAATAAATAATAATAACTTTCACTGGATCATTGTAAATAGAATTGTAGTACTAAATAATTATTTTTTTATTTAAACTTGCATGTTACAATTACAAGTATTGTGCAAACAAGCGTAGATAATAGAAATGTGCTCATCATTGTTATATCGTTAACCTGTCATCATTTATTATACACATTCAAAGAAATAAACGATAATCTTATGTATGTACGAGAGTTTCAACTCAAAGAAATGAATACCTTATACGTGCGCGGTATAAAATGCATACGAATGAGAACGTAATAACATTTTCCGCAAGGATGTTTTTTAAAAAGATTCAGACATAACCTAACGTTCCCGTGAGAAATATGAAGATAATCAAGCAAAGAATTTCGGAGATAACGTGTTAATAAAAAGAGGAGTTTGCCCAAGGCGATTGTGAAAATTATGTATCGCATACATGCTAATGGATAAACGATTGTATTCAACGTAAGAAAATAACGTGAAGGAAAAATGTGCGAGAAGTATGTCATTGGTTACTCGTTATCCGAAAAAAAGCGACAGAAATTTATTTCGAACGAGTTTTATAATGCCTGTGAAGCCGAAGGGTTTCAATTCAAAATGGTAAGTAATTTTAATGTACTGTTTTATATTACTAGTTCGTTATTATATTATATATCACTTGTTACGATAGTGTTAGGTTATGTAAAGAATTCATCGTTTCATTTTCCATGCACTTTTACGATGTTTAACAAGTTATTTTTAGATCGATGTGGTTTCAGATTGATATAAACTCCGACCTTGAGTCTCAGGGACCATTTCATGTTTTTATATACAAGATGATGGATAAATTAGCAAACGCTGAACATGGTGATGAAAATGTAAAATGAACACAATATTTCTATAAGTGTTTATTTAACTAATTCATAATTGGAATTGTTTTAAATAGTTAATTCATATTTCAGGCCAAAGCGATCATCGCAAAAGTAAAAGCCTATTTCTGCCAGCATCCAGAGATAATAGTTATTGATCCTTTGGACAATATTAGAATTTTAATAAACCGTTATAAATCATATGAAATCTTGCAAGAAAATTTACAACTTGATGGTAAATGAAGTTAATAGAATTTGTTAGCTTCTAATTAAGGGCTATAGCTTTTGATTAACTTCTGTTTGTATCTTTATTTTTTAGAGGTATTTATTCCAAAATTTGTAGAACTTAAAAGTAAGGATACTGCTGAGAATACATCAGTGTTAAAAACGGCAGGCGTTAAGTTCCCATTTTTATCCAAACCACTCGTCGCTCAGGGTTCCAATGATGCTCATAAGGTACTTTGTTTATTGAGAAAAGTGTTAATATAATGTAAAAATTAATAACAAACACACAATTTTTAGATGATGATAATTTTCAATGAAGAAGGTATGAAAGATTGCCAACCTCCTTGTGTGGCTCAAGAGTTTATCAACCATAATGCAATTCTCTATAAAATATTCATAGTCGGGGAAAACTTTCACGTAGCTGAAAGACCCAGTATCAAAAACTTTTATGAAAAAGACTGTACTGCATTAAACACAATAGTTTTTAATTCCCATGAGATTTGTAAGAGCGGCTCCAAGTCTAAGTGGTCAATTTTATCGGAAGATAACATTCCATTAACAGTGAAACCGAAGAATGAGGTATTGGAAAAGATCGTTAAGAGAATTACGAAACTCTTTGGACTTTATCTTGTCGGCGTGGACGTCGTCATTGAAAATCATACCGGAAAGTATGCGATAATTGATGTAAATATGTTCCCTGGTTATGATAGTTATCCCAATTTCTTTGAACAACTGATAAGTTGTATTAAGAAGTTATTGCACGAACGCAAAGACTCGCAACAACATTCTAAAAGTTATACGTTAAAAAAATGCTTGAGCGACGATTTAGATTCTGGCTTTGAAAGCGATGAGAAAAAGAAATATCCTACGAAACTAAATAAATAATGCAGTCAAATTCGAAATACGGATAATTATATCAAACTGATACTCCTGTTCACTATATTTTATAAATACAAAATCATATTATTTGAAGGAATATCTATACATTACATATATATATATATATATATCTTTTTTGTAATGCCTCCGTTCATTTGCGCCTTCAAGTATGACTGTGACAGCAGATCTGCGTTTTGTAATCAAGATTAAATACTTACTTTTTACATTTTTTTAGTTCATGTTCCCATATACATAGTTGTAGGAAGTAATTCATTTCTTTACTGTCTACATCGAAATTTTTTTTACGAATTAATCCATTGTGATAAAAGGAAGAGAAACAGAAAAAAACGCATGACTGCCAAATAATATTTTGTACTTTTCACTTATAATATACTGCATTATAGTGTACTGTAGTATATACATTTGTGCGTATATTATTATATATACGTCATAGTATATATACTACATTAGTATACTATATTTTTTCATAAGTGGTTGAATAAAAATACCTTTGAGATCGATGTATGTATGTTTATAAATTTACATTTTCATTGTGAAATACAAAACTGTACATTAAAGTTACTATAAAAATACATTACGAGAGGGTTATTGAATACTCGGTTGTTTGTTTAAATGATCCTTTTATGTTGAAAATATCTATAATCGTGTATTTCAATGTCATATACTTAAGATGAAAAAGTTCAAAACTTTACTTATATATACACACAATAAGAAACAATTAATTTATTTACAAGAAGAACAGCCAAATGATTTTGTTAACTAGATTCCGGTTGACCATTTTGGCTATTTTCATTCTTCTCACTCATTTCTTTCTGCTTTATCCAAGCTTTGGCAGACGCCAAGAATTTAAGGTTCGGTCTTTGTGATTCATCTTCTGGGAAAACGAAATCGAACACTTCTTCCCAACCGTCGTCGCTCTGAAATAAAAAACGGCAACTGTAAGACATGTACATTCCAATTGAGATACGATGATAAACGAATCTAGTTACCCCGTCTTCTCCAACAATGCGCCTGCGGCGTTTGATCCTTCGAGGCATTTTCTCCATAATTTTCGTCCTAGTCTCATCATCCCCTTTCTCGTTTTCGAAATCTCTCCACGCTTCTAAAAGCAGCGCTCTACTTTCCTTATCACCGTTCGATCTAAGCGCATCATTCCCACGTTCAAAAATTCTTCGTGCTAAAACAACATTATCAACACCGTCTTCGGACGCTGAATTTGCCAATTCAAATTTGGCGTATGCAATCCAAACCTAATATTTTAGAGGTGAAGAATAAATAATACAAATTTTATGCATTAAACTTGTCTATGGCTATACTTACTTTGACGTGAAGCGTACGTTCCAATAATCTCTCAAACAGCTGCCTCGCATTTTCCGTTTCATCCTGGGATATCTCAAAATCGATATATGATTTCCATAGAAGTTCAGGCATATCCAGTCTATAATTAATGAAAAATAAACGCAATGATGAAACAAAGTAAGAACATAATTAATAAATATTACCTTGGCTGTGATATAGCTAATTCGTAAATGGCTCTTGCTCGTTCTACATCACCTAACAGCGTTTCCAATTCTGCGAACTGATTACCCAAGTATTGTTAAATGAATTTTCGAACGTACAATCAACGATATATTTAGTTTACGTACTTTCATCCACGTGGTGCAATTCTCTGAGCCAAATTCGAGGAATTTTTCATACAAAATTCGACATCTGTCGAATTCTCTTAATTGTATCTCTAAATCAATATATCCACGATACAATTTATCCCTTGGACAAATACCTAATGCCATACCCTGCAACCAATTAAAATTATGTTTTCTCTGAACATTTTTGGCTCTTATAAAAAATTTCTAGTCATTGCTTACTAATGTTTTCCTAGCTGCTGTCAAGTTCTTCTGTCTTATTTCAAAGTATGCATAAAGTAGCCATATCTTAGAAAATGTAAAATGCTTGTGAGGAATTAATTCTAAGCAAGCCCTGAAAAATACATTAAAATAATATTTAATTAAACATGCTAATTGTACTAATACGGTTTACAAGAAAATATGAATTACCTGTAAACTTGGCGACATCTTTCTACGTCTTCAGTATCAAGTTCTTCAAAAAGAGCATAATTTATCCACAAATAAATGTATCTCCTCCAAAATTGTTTTTCCTAAAGAAAATTTGTATAAATTTGTATGAAACGTTAAATAAGAAATCTGAATCGACGAACTGATTGCATCTCTTACTTTAGTTGGAGGTACATTGGCTATTGCGCGTTCATAAGTTTCTCTGATAATGTCTGCATTTCCCTCTGATTCGACTAATCTCAAATAATCAAACCAGGCATCATAATTAGAAGGATTTTCTTTCACTTCCTGTTCATACTGATATTTTCGTTTGCTTACAATTACATCTTCGATACCTGCAAATAATGATGTGAAAAGATGAATATAAATGAAATACTACAAATAATCACAAACATCTGTTACAGTAGTACCTGAACGATCGCCGTATTTTTTCTCATGTATCGTGTATGCTTTATAGATCTCCTGAGTTTTCTCTTTTGGAATGTGATCTAACGCGTATTTATAAATTACCCTAGCTCGATCGTGCTACAAATTAAAATATCATCTGTTACGGACAACATTCTGTCCACCATGCATTATAAAAATAACTTTTGTTTCTTACTTCTCTTTGTCCTTCCTCGAACTTTGCAAATGCAATAAATAACTTTTCATCTAAATTTTCGTCCCCGTAAAAGTTAATGGCACGCTCATAAACAATACGAGCCCCATTGATAAAACCATGGGACTCTTCAAATCGTGCGTATTTTATCCAGTGCTTAACATCAGGATGAACCATCACGAATCGTTCGTAAATTTGTCTAGCTCTCTGTATTTCCTTGTACCGTAATTCAAATTTAATGTACGTTTGCCAAGCCTGTTCATCAGGCTCCCATTCCATCCATCTTTCAAATACTTGACGTGCACCTACATGAACAAAACTTTGATCAACACGTTCTTATTACACTTCAAAGTGAGTATAGAAAAAATTAATTTACCAGCGATATTCTCTAACATTTCTTCCATGTACGTGTACTTATACCAAAATTGATTTGCTCTAGGTAATATAGTAACTGCACGATCCCATAAATTCCGGGCATGATTTACTTGACGATTTCTCATTTCCATTTCGGTGTATTTCAACCATAATGTGATATTTCTATGATCAACATCTAAAGCACGTTCATATATAGATCTGAAATTCATAAATATTTCACAGATTTATAAGATTTTATATTTATTATTTAAGAAAGCACATTATTTGGGCCAGGACAATACTAATTGCGTTTTTACCTTGCTCTCTGTATCTGTTTCTGACTTTCTTCCCATTGTGCATATTTTATCCAGTTTGAAATAACCATACGATTTTTACGGATGTTATCCTCGAAAGCTTTACGCTTTCTATGTTGATAATCAGCCAATTCATGGGGATCCGAGATTTTTTGCTTCGGTGGCTACAAAATACATAAATATAGATTACATGTTAAGATTTCATTTTTAAATCCTGCATCCTAAGTTTAAAATAATGGAAAATATATGTACCGGTGGTAAAATCTCAAGATCCCTTTCTTTAGCCTCACGCAAAAGCTGCTCTGCTGTTATTTGAATTTCAGCAGGTGCTTTATTCTTTACCTATAGTGAAATATAATTTATATTAATTTTTGCAGAATTACAAAATTAATTATTCTATACATATATTATAACGTATAAGGATCTACATACCTTTGCTACTTTGGGCATTTTCTGTGATTTTTCCATGGTATTAGATTTAATTTAACTCTTTTTCACAATAATAAATAATTCATTAAATCTCATACACACAAGATACTACTAAATAAAGTCATTAATCTGTACCTACAAAATATTTTGCGTTATTATACTTCTACTTTAATGCACTGTTCTTCGTAGAAAATTATAGGTAACTTGCATATTAATGAATTAAAACTATAAGATCAGAATTTATGTTTATTACTTAGTACTATTCTCTTTCGTAAAACGTGAATAATTTATAATGATGGAATTTTATTTTGGTAAATATATAACAAATTAAAAGGTTAGGAGTACCCAGGAGTACCTAAACCATGCACTGAGAATCAGTATTGGGCACATCTGAGCTGAACGCTGAACCATCTGAGTACATTGTGGGATTTTTGAGGCACGCGCACTGGAAGTGGAAGCGACTAGTAACAGCGGTAGCCATAGAGATAATTTTTTTCAATTCAAAGATTCTTTTAGATCCCGAGTGCGAAGACAGGCTTGGAATTAAAACTAATTTCGAAAATAAAATACTTATTACGTTATCTGACTGAATGATATGTGAAATAATGCATTTGGTTAGTGTACTTGGA